AAAACAGTTCACAAACTCCATTTCTCTGTATACATTTTATTATTTCATTTCCCCGGGCCGACGTATACTGTACAGATATAGTACAGGATTCAGAACCACAAAGGAACCCCTGCAAATACAATTTGCCAACATTACAAATAGACCAAATAATACAAGATACCATTAGTTATTCTTTATAATAATGAATTCGACGCGTTTCGACCGATAAAAGTATTAAATTGTAAGAACAACTACTGTTACAAGTATTATTTACCTGATACCGTCATGTTGCCACGCAGTAGGAAATATTGGCCCGTCATGTCAAGTAGCGCTGATCCCCGAAGGTGATTGTGTCAAACGCTCTGGCTAGAATGCAACGCCCACCGCTAAAGTAACTCTTTTTATACGACACCCCACACATTCGCGCATTAATTTCACTCACCGACACGCACATCGACCCACCCTGGTCAAACTGGACAAACGGGTACAATACAGGTAAACACAATTACGTCACATTTTACAGGTTATACATAGACACCGGGGAAACCCCGCACAATACATTGTAAACAAAGACACTCCATGTAACTAGTAACACACATTAAATGTGACCCTACGACATATACATCGTGTATGCTCTGATGAATAGAGATTCACATTCAAATTGACCACACGTTCCAATATTGGAAAGTGCAACGGAATACAGTTTTCATTTTATGACATAACAAAACCCAATAAGACAACGATGGGCAATAACGTAAGCAAACTAAGTGAGGCGACAATAGACATAAAGCCTAAACCCGGAAAGGTGGTTATGGGCGTCAAGTTTATAAAACCAAGTAAGTTGGTCATAGTCGTCAAGTTTATTAAACCAAGTGAGGTTACCATAGGCGTCAAGTTATAAAATCAAGTAAGGTGGTCACAGCGTCAAGTTTATAAAACCAAGTATGTTGGTCATAGATGTCAAGTTTATAAAACCGAGTAAAGTGACCATAGGCGTCAATTTTATAAAACTAAGACAGGTGGCCATGGGCGTCAACCTTATAAAACCAAGAAAGGTGGCCCTGGGAGTCAAGTTTATAAAACCAAGAAAGGTGGCCCTGTGCGTCAAATTTATAAAACCAAGTAAGTTGGCCCTCGGCGTCAACCTTAAAAAAACCAAGAAAGGTGGCCCTGGGCGTCAACCTTATAAAACCAAGTAAGGTGGCCATGGGCTTCAAGTTTATAAAACCAAGTGAGGTTACCATAGGCGTCAAGTTATAAAACCAAGTAATGTGGTCACAGCATCAAGTTTATAAAACCAAGTATGTTGGTCATAGACGTCAAGTTTATAAAACCGAGTAAAGTGACAATAGGCGTCAAGTTTATAAAATCAAGAAAGGTGGCCATGGGCGTCAACCTTATAAAACCAAGAAAGTTTGCACTATGTGTCAAGTTTATAAACCAAGTTAGTTGACCCTGGGCGTCAAATTAATAAATCCAAGGTAGGTGGTTATGGATGTCAAATTTATAAAACCAAGTAAGTTAGCCCTTGGCGTCAAGTTTATAAAACCAAGAAAGGTGGCCCTGTGCGTCAAATTTATAAAACCAAGTAAGTTGGCCCTTGGCGTCAACCTTATAAAACCAAGAAAGGTGGCCCTGGGCGTCAACCTTATAAAACCAAGAAAGGTGGCGATGGGCGTCAAGCTTATAAAACCAAATAAGTTGACCCTTGGCGTCAACCTTATAAAACCAAGTAAGGTGGCCCTGTGCGTCAAGCTTATAAAACCAAGTGAGGTTACCATAGGCGTCAAGTTATAAAACCAAGTAATGTGGTCACAGCATCAAGTTTATAAAACCAAGTATGTTGGTCATAGACGTCAAGTTTATAAAACCGAGTAAAGTGACCATAGGCGTCAAGTTTATAAAATCAAGAAAGGTGGCCATGGGCGTCAACCTTATAAAACCAAGAAAGTTTGCACTAGGTGTCAAGTTTATAAACCAAGTTAGTTGACCCTGGGCGTCAAATTAATAAATCCAAGGTAGGTGGTTATGGGTGTCAAATTTATAAAACCAAGTAAGTTAGCCCTTGGCGTCAAGTTTATAAAACCAAGAAAGGTAGCCCTGTGCGTCAAATTTATAAAACCAAGTAAGTTGGCCCTTGGCGTCAACCTTATAAAACCAAGAAAGATGGCCCTGAGCGTCAACCTTATAAAACCAAGAAAGGTGGCGATGGGGGTCAAGCTTATAAAACCAAATAAGTTGACCCTTGGCGTCACCCTTATAAAACCAAGTAAGGTGGCCCTGGGCGTCAACCTTATAAAACCAAGTTAGTTGACCCTGGGCGTCAAGCTTATAAAACCAAGTTAGTTGACTCTGGGCGTCAATTTTATAAAACCAAGTTAGTTGACCCTGGGCGTAAAGTTTATAAAACAAAGAAAGGCGATCATAGGCATCACATTTATCAACCCAGACAAGTCGATCATAGGTATTTAGTTAATTGAACTAATTAAGAAGACAAAAGAATCAAGTGAATAAAATATTGAATATCATAGCATACAACATGAATTGTTTGTAAAGCTAAATAATTTCTGAGGTTTGATTTAACTATTTTATTTCTAGATCTGATGTTGTCACGGGATGTGGAAAGGCATGCCACCACAGTGTGTCAGCAGACCAGAGCGAGAGAAATGACGTCCATGATCATATACGACGGCCAATGGTTCCCGAACTGTGACCTTGCCGGCAACTTTTACGCCCGCCAGTGTGACAATCAACGTAGGTCATGTGCTCTTTGTCCATGTTCTCTAGCACTATTTTTCAGAAAGGTCATCTGTTCATTGTCCCTGTTTTGTAGCACTATTTCTCATAAAGGTCATGGGTTCATTGTCCCTGTTCTGTAGCACTATTTCTCATAAAGGTCATGGGTTCATTGTCCCTGTTCTGTAGCACTATTTCTCATAAAGGTCATGGGTTCATTGTCACTGTTCTGTAACACTATTTTCATAAAGGTCATGTGTTCATTGTCCCTGTTCTGTAGCACTATTTCTCATAAAGGTCATGTGCTCATTGTCCCTGTTCTGTAGCACTATTTTTTAGAAAGGTCGTGGTTCATTGTCCCCGTTCTGTAGCACTATTTCTCATAAAGGTCATGTGCTCATTGTCCCTGTTCTGAAGGACTATTTTTCATAAAGGTCATGTGTTCATTGTCCCTGTTCTGTAGCACTATTTTTCATAAAGGTCATGGGTTCATTGTCACTGTTCTGTAGCACTATTTTTCATAAAGGTCATGTGTTATTGTCACTGTTCTGTAACACTATTTTTCATAAAGGTCATGTGCTCATTGTTCCTGTTCTGTAGCACTATTTCTCATAAAGGTCATGTGTTCATTGTCACTGTTCTGTAGCCCTATTTTTCATAAAGGTCATGTGTTCATTGTCACTGTTCTGTAACACTATTTTTTATAAAGGTCATGGGTTCATTGTCACTGTTCTGTAGCACTATTTTTCATAAAGGTCATGCGTTCATTGTCACTGTTCTGTAGGACTATTTTTCAAAAAGGTCATGTGTTCATTGTCACTGTTCTGTAACACTATTTTTCATAAAGGTCATGTGTTCATTGTCCCTGTTCTGTAGCACTATTTTTCATAAAGGTCATGTGTTCATTGTTACTGTTCTGTAGCACTATTTTTCATAAAGGTCATGGGTTCATTGTCACTGTTCTGTAGCACTATTTTTCATAAAGGTCAAGTGTTCATTGTCACTGTTCTGTAGCACTATTTCTCATAAAGGTCATGTGCTCATTGTCCCCGTTCTGTAGTACTTTTTTTCATAAAGATCATGTGCTCATTGTCCCCGTTCTGTAGGTCTATTTTTCATAAAGGTCATGTGCTCATTGTCCCTGTTCTGTAGCACTATTTCTCATAAAGGTCATGTGCTCATTGTCCCCGTTCTGTAGTACTTTTTTTCATAAAGATCATGTGCTCATTGTCCCCGTTCTGTAGGTCTATTTTTCATAAAGGTCATGTGCTCATTGTCCCTGTTCTGTAGGACTATTTTTCATAAAGGTCATGTGCTCATTGTCCCTGATCTGTAGCACTATTTCTCATCTCCCTCGTCAGATAAAATATTTAAAATTATAGTTTAACCCATATAAGATTTTGTAAGATACCAGTGTGCCCATATCGATTTGGTTTTAAAAGAAATTACGCCTGTTTGCAATTGTCTGTATACTTGTGTGTGTACGTTTTTGTATGTCCACCTGCGTTTGTACATCGGTTTGATTGTACACGTGCCTGTTTGTTTGTACTCATTTTCGACTTTACACCTGTCTATTTGTACACCTGTTTGATTTTACACCTGTCTATTTGTACACCTGTTTGATTTTACACCTGTCTGTTTGTACACCTGTTTGTTTTTACACCTGTCTGTTTGTACACCTGGTTGATTTTACACCTGTCTGTACTTCTGTTTATTTGTACTTTGCTTTTTTTACATCCGCTAATTTGTACAAATAGTTGTAAGTACATTTATTTGTACACATAATTGTTTCTAATCTTAAAATCGTATTTATTGCCAATTGATACTGAACAAGGGATTATACACAAGTTTTTACAACTTATCGTCGCCTTCTTCCCGTAATACATTTACAATTACAGGATAACAATGACGTGTGTATTTTGGTTTAGTAGTTTTCACACCTGCATTTATTACCCGTAGATAAATGTTTCTGTGTGGACCAGACGAGTGGTAAGCTGTTGACGGAGAGACAACTCGGCTACATCGACTGCTCCACTGTCTCCGGAGCGTAATTTAACAATATTACATCCACTGCGCATGACCGCCCGATCTGACGTCTGAATACAGGCGTTAACCGGAAGACCCGGATGTTTGCTTTCCCGTTATAATAATGTTGGTTGGAGAATAAAAAAGATATTAATTTTACATGTTTATGGTTTGGTTTTTTGTTTCCTTGAAAATTGCAATATCATGCCCTTTTTTCGGCAAGGATCCCCACTGTCTCTCTCCCCATCTCTTCCGCTCCCGTACTAAACAACAGAGGACTGTGATATGATCTTTGCCTCTCTAAAATCATATGGTTTAAACATGGGACTCTGGTATGATCAGTGCCTCCCTTTTTACATACCTCCCTACCACAGGGACTACATCATACGCTACTCCTACTCTTCAGAACAAAGATACCACAGGGGATTATAGCATAATTCCCGAATCCTTTAAGTATAGCTACGTGTATCAAAGGATGCTGTAACGTGATCCCTGCTTCTACAGTACATAGCTACGTGTACCAAAGGAGGCAGGGTCCACGTTACAGCACCCTATAGAACATAGCTACGTGTACCAAAGGATGCTGTAATGTGATCCCTGCCTCTACAGTACATAGCTACGTGTACCAAAGGATGCTGTAACGTGATCCATGCCTCTACATTACATAGCTACGTGTACCAAAGGAGGCAGGGTCCACGTTACAGCACCCTATAGAACATAGCTACGTGTACCAAAGGATGCTGTAACGTGATCCCTGCCTATACAGTACATAGCTACGTGTACCAAAGGAGTCAGGGTCCACGTTACAGCACCCTATAGAACATAGCTACTGCAGGGACTTCAGTACACAGCTACCGCCATCGACTGTAGAATAATAAGTGCCTGCTTTATCTGTACCTAGGACAGGGGACTATTTCATTATCCCTGCCTCTCCTAAAGAGCAAGATTAATCAGGGAATGACAGGAGGATCATTACCCCTTTTACAACACATAGCTACCGCTACCACAGCACCGTTGACCACAGGGGACTGAAGACATACATACATAGATCCCAACGGGGGTTTAGCGTGATCCTTTTATTCCCTAAAGTACAAAAGGACCTGTAGTGTGATTTCTGCTCCTTAACGAAAATAGCTACCACAGGGGACTGCAGCATGATGCATGCCTCCTTTAAAGTACCTAACACAGGGAACTGTAGAAAGATATTTGACTCCAACAGTGCATAGCTACTACACGGGAATGTAGCTTGAGACCTGCCTTCGCAGGGAACTATTAAATTACCTCTGCATTTAATTCAGTAAGTTATTTATTTGGATGAGATTTTTATGGGAAATATAACTTCTTCGAACGTTTAAACACATATTTAGTCATACCTATCTAATGATAGTTCGAAATAACTAAACCAATGTATTTAGTTTTTCATATATCAGGCCCATAAAAAAGTTATTTCGGACTAGTCCTAAGAATTGTTGATAATGATTTTATTATTTAATGAGGCTTATTAATAAATATGTTTCTAATTTCATGAAATATATTTATGTTTCCGATCTTAAAATATATTTCTATTTTTCGTTTCGATTCAATAGACGAAGAAACAATTTCGGTATTTTATATAGAAGATAAAGTAATGGCGAACCAAGAAAATTACATTTACTGAAATTACTTTTCAATATCTATGTGGGGTTATCCCATTAGACGTAATAGTTTGGATCGCCCACTGGCCTGGGCCATCACAACCAAGGACGAACCAACTATTAGCTTGGCGACACCGATCCTACCACCAAGGTGCGTACAGAATGGTTCAATATAACAGATGATTTCTTCGGCCGCAATCAGTGGTAAACAATACAAGACAAGGTATTACAAGGTAGACAGCCTTATCTCCCAAATGTTTGAATCAATTGATAAACTTTCACCTTTCAGTATACTATCCCAAATTTAGAACACATCAACGCTTGTTTAACCGTGTCTGTCCTTTACCAACCTTGACTCGGCTCGTAGATCTAGATGTATTGTATTTTAGCATCGGCAATTATAGGCGCGGCATCAGCCCTCTGCAGCCTGGAAACATGCGCTCTTGTGGGGACCGCACGCCCATTAAACTGTAAAGGGATAATTATTAAGAATGGTGGATATTGTGGATGTTACGATGTGTGTGCCAAGGTAGGTGACAATACAAAATGGTATATCTGTAAATTAAATCATTTATTTGATTTTTTTGTAAAAAGTTGCAATTAAACGCATAAGTATATATATATATATATCTGTACATAATAATACTTTAATATTGAGAGAACACACTGTTCTGTCAATAATAAACATACAATATTCATCAGTTTAATATTAAACATTAGAATATGCCGAAATTGTGATACTATCTACCTACATTGGATTTTCAACTAGGGACGTACTTCCTATTTCCGTTTATCAATACACTCCTATGACCTTAAGGGACATTGAAGTAGCTACAGTTGATCTAGTGTCCTAATTACAATTCATGTGACCTCTATCTTTTACCTTCTTCACTTCTCTAGCCTTTCCTTTAAGTGATGTCTTACTAAACATCTGTCCCTTCTATGACCTTCACTGTGGCGAGAACGTTAAGCCGAGAACGGGACAGAACATACCATATATATACTTAGTACCAGTAAGCAAAGTAGAGTATAGGACTGTTTTAAAGTGCAAATATATTGTCCTCAAAATATGTACAATGTACTGATTTAGATTTAAGTATCCTCGTACCGTTTTCAAAAATGTAATTGTCAAAGTGTCCCGAACAGCGCACCCAAAATAGCCAGCCAATGAATCTAGGTGTTCTCACGAGCAATCGTCTGGATGACGTCGACCTCACGAACAAGCAAGTAGACAATGACACAATAACTTGCAAAAATCATCAACATGTAAATGTGTTATAGGGGGAATTGACATCATGCCTGCGTATTAACAACAGATTTTCCATGGATATAAAATGTTATTCAAAGAACAATTATCCATCTTTCAGGCGACACCAAGCAATTGTGTATACTTCTATAGAGGAAAACAATGTTTTGTGAAAATCAGGAGTGGTCAATTTTCAGACTTCCAGAACTTTTCTGCCACCTTGTTTATATCTGTATATGTACCACCATTTCGGGAGAGGCTATTTTTGCTCAGTGTGGATTGTAATCTCTCAAACGCCTAATATTACGTCCTACATATCGGAATAGGTCCTCACATGCATCCTGTGATGTGTTCTCTGGTCCGTGTGTACATTTCAACTTTGCTTCGAACGGCCGGTTTGGCTTATGTAATTACATGCATCTCACTGCAAAGTCAACGGACCCAAAAAATAAAATATAAAAAATTAATAAAATAAAACAAAGTCGTCACAAATATCAAGAAAAAAAGACTTACGCTCCTTATTTCGTACTTTCGGTTTAGCAAGCCGGCGAGTCGTGTCAGGTGAGACCAGAACTGGACGGGAGGTGGACTTACGGCTCGTGCGAGCCAGGCCTGATATGTGTCCCCCACGGTGAGATGGTCGGTATAGGATATGGCCACTGTCATATTCCTCGGACAAGTAAGTACTCTACATATGTAAATATATATATATAGCTCCATCACCGGAACTAGGTACAAAATGTAGTGCAAATCCTGGGGCAAGTGGTAATCGACTCCCACCTCCTTTTAACGATCAATGATTTATATTTTACTGTATATTGTTTCATTTAAAATTTAATTTTGTCACAACATTCTCAGAATGGATGCCACAGTAGAAGTCGACGGAAATGTACGGCTTTCGAATTCGGTTTTGCATGATTAACAAGAGAGATTATACTTAGATTATAAGCGATGATATAAACATAAGATAAATGAAATATTTACAAAGTGATTTTACCTCCGTGATTGGTTCTTTTGCATTCTCTGTTTCCAGCCCGATGGTTGACCTCAATGACCCATAATACTCCATGCGAGCAGATGAGGCGCGCGCGACTCCTTTCCATGGCCGTCTGGCAGGGCGAGTGGACACCAGTTTGTGACGCCCTGGGTAACTTCTATACCCACCAATGTGACAATATAGGTAGGTCTACATTTGCTCAACATATACTGTCTTCACGCATGTAATATACGCACGTTCGTGGTATATACATGTTGCAGTAAGAAATGTATTTTATGTAATGGAAGTGATGGAGAGGATGAATACCTTTTTATAATTCAATACGGCCGCTACACAGACACCCGTTCTAGAGTAACTAAGAAATGGTATTTAAGATAACCTAGCATTTATAGACATTTATAAACCTAGCATGTTTAAATAAATTCAATAACCCAAAGTCGGAAATACATAGGACCTTGATAATTAAGGTAAGGTTTTCAACATTAAACTTCAAATGTAGAAAAGATTTATAGGAAGGTCACTAGAGTAAGTTATGTATAAGACCTATTTGGGTGGGTCGGGATAAGAATGGGTGTTGTGCCCGCGTATATAAATGTGTGTATGTCTTTATCTGCTTATTCACATGTAATTGCCGCAAGTAATGAACATATAGCAAACAAACGAACGAAAGGAACACTCATGCAATGTGCGCACAATCATGTAACATGCACAGTAATTCCAAAATGGCCAATACCCCGTTACCCATTAATATTGACAGAAGATATGTATAAACTATACGATGAAATTTGGACACCGACAATAAATGCTGTGTTAATTGGAAAAAATACGGCTAAAGTAATTATACTTTCATTATTATTTACTTGTATATGCCGATTATAACTATGGCCGGCAGAGAGAATACATACCACGAATGGCGAGCTTAAGGTGCCATCAGCACAAGCATGTCATTTTAAGCTATACCGATAGAAAATTTTGACTTTAGGAAAAGGTAGCTCAGAAAAAAAGCCATGACTTATCTTTATGGTGTTTTGTTGATAATCTAGACGTCGTTTATCGTATTAGAAAAAAACACTAACTCATGTGGAGTAGAAATGAAAAGTTCGTGGTTTGGCAGAGACATGTTTCATTAAACGAGTCGAGGCCGTTTGGAAGTTTTTATTGCTGAAAGAATAATCTTCCCCTATCAAAGCAATATTCCGCGTCGGAAATCCATTCGGGTCCCCCCGGTAGGTGCAGAAATTTGCCGGAAAGGCACGAGCGGGGTTCTATATATGTCGATATACGTAGAACAATATACCTACCGTAGTCATAAATTGATAGGCGGAATACGGGAATGAAAAAACGGGAGATTTATTTGTTATATCTACGATACAACTTAATTTAAAGGTCAATGTTTCTGTGTGGAGACTCATAGCGGCAAAATGCTGACCGTCAAGACTCTGGGAGCAGTGGACTGTAGTGCTCAACAGGAAGTCACCAAGGAGGTCACCACCACCATGATACCAACCAAGGCACCCGCTGGTCAGTACCCTAGACAGAAAACTAGGTCACTGTGATCCCAACGGACATGACGCATCATGTTATCAATAAAATAAGCTGTCATGTTTGATATATGGTTTCTATAATAACATGTTAGCAAACAGAGAAATGTAAGATAAAGACAGAAATAGCATGAAGAAATATGGTTTTAATTTTGATTTATCACGACTAATAAAAAAAGTCTCAAAGCATTTCTTACATAGGCTGGAAGTATATATATCAGGTTCTGTAGATTTGTAGTGGCTATATATCTGAACCGTTTATCACAGCCCGTTTCCTGGATACCATGGGTATGTCCCACAACACACCCTGTGAACAGCAGAGGAGAGCTCGCCTCATGTCCATGGTGGTATGGCAGGGACAGTGGGTACCCGTATGTGATTCTAAGGGCAATTACCTTCCGCACCAGTGTGACAATATGGGTAAGGAATGTCTCCCATATTTTAATGCAATAGTTTTGTAAATAAAAATGTGGGTGGGGGGATTTAGTTTCAACATTTATTCAAAGCCAAAAGCAAAATCAGTAAAATGAAAATCCCGCATTTGGTTCAAATAAGTGTTTGCATCGTGTATGCTGATTCAATAAGAAGAACAAACATCTTCCATGGAGGACCAATAGTGTCTAACGTTAAAATTGTGATGTCACAATAATGACGACGTCAACTCGTGGATTTAACACATTCCAACCAACACAACGCTCGAGTACTTATTTGTCATATTTAAATATTGGGTAGAGAAATCAGTGGACGACATAAGCACCAAAGCGACACTGCCCCTACACCAATGTTGTGGTTTCGGTTTATTTTTTTATTTTATTTTTCCACACCACAACCAACCACACTGCTGCCTTACATTAACTTATTAGCTCCGACACCCGTCTAACCCCTCCAGTTACTGCCAACATCCAAATACTCCACCATCTCCCCTGGGCGACCGTCTTCTCCAATCTCAAAACCATTCCCTAGACTCCAGTTCCAGTACCACACCCAGCTGCTACCTTGCTGCCATACCTAATTTCCCCCACATAGCGGCTCACGACCAAGTGAATACAAATCGCGTACTCTCGCATAGTCTCGCTCGGAATTTTAACACATTCCAAGCAACACTGCGCTCGAGTACCTATTTGTCATATTTAAGTATTGGGTAGAGAAATCAGTGGAATCTACATAACCTCAATACAACGCCTCTTGCCTCTCTCTATACACCCTACACGTACCCCCCATTACTTAATCCATTTCCGATTCTACCTACATTTCTCAACCAAATACTTACTGTTTCCCGAAAAGGACAAACAAACAAAACATCTACCATCCCTTAATCTTTATTGATTTATTCTGCGTCGGAAGGAACACACACTTCTTTGTCCCTGTCGTGTACCCTAGCCGCTTCAGAACTTCACACACCGCATATGTCGCCCTACTAGTTCTTTCTACTGATGAAACCTGAACCGGTCGTCAATGTATTGCAACACAGGAACGCCGTGCGACCTACAATAACCTGTAGCCACATAGCCTAACGATTGGGATATATAATCACTGGCCTTAAAGCCAAGTGGCAATGTCCGATACCTCAAATACCACCCCCCAAACTGAATGCCAAAGTACCTACGGCTCGACTCCTTTAACAACACATGGTCATACCCCGATTTGTCATCAATTGACGTCATGAAACTCGCTGTCTGCACCAACCGGGGAATTTCCCGCAATGTACCCAATGTAAACGGGCTATCTGTATCCACAGATTAAGAAACTCTCGTCATGACAGAGCCGCGGTTTCGATGGCTCCACCGTCAACGGTAACACCAACCGGCTCACACTCACCCACCCTACCTACCACTTCCAGGGACCCATTCTGTATCCGAGCAGTTAATGTATCAACAATAAAATCTTTAAATTTCTCACACACTGCCGCATTTGGTAAATCGGGGGTAAATCCGTGTCATACGCCACCCCACGAAAATTTCCCTTAAAATGTCTGCAAAAGTCCATAACATCCACCCCCTCTAGTAACCATTTCCTAACCTCCTGTGGAGGATCTAATTTCCACCATTCGTCCAGACAACCATGACAAAACAAACACCACTCCCCGGGCCTGAACGCGAACCTCGAGTTGAGCCTGAACCACCCTGGTGGGGATGTGACCTTTTCCCATGCCCTTCCTGCATAGGAAAACCCTGCGAGTCCCAACCCTAGAATTGCCACGGATAAAACATAGGCATAGCGGGACCCGCCGCCCCAGGGAAAAACCTTTCTCGTGCCCAAGCGGCGGAGCCTCGTAACCCACCGCCGCCTCCCCTCTCGCCACTTTCGACCATTCCGAAATAGCCGTCGAAATCTTTTTATCATCCGTCGACCCAAACCCTCCCTGGTCGACAAAATGGCGTGACCCGAAACGAAGTTACATTGCACACCAAAACTTCGAAACGACCGACAACACAATGGTGGCACGAAATTGGCATCCAAGAGTAAACCCCTGGACCCAAAACACCATACGAACTAGTACTATGTCAAAGCGAAACCATAGCAAACTCAAACATAACAAGCACGACGAAAACTTCCGCCTTTTTTTTTTTTTTAATTCCACACCGCGGTAAAACAACATTCACAAACGTTTCTAATAAGCGACTCACACATAAATACCGCGAATAATCTTCACAAGATAGCCAAAACACAAGAAATACTTACTACCAACCAATTTCTCGCTCGTAGCAGATGACCCACTTGCTGCCAGACGTCAGCACCCGTCAGTGGCTCACGACAGAGTGAATACAAATCGCGTACTCTCGCATATTCTGGCTTGGAGTACATGGATTTCTCAATCTAAATGGATACCATCCGAATTTCATATAGGGATAAAATTGAAGCAACGCCATAAAGTGGCGAATATAGTAAAGTGACCGTTATTTTCATATGGTACATGTATAAAGGTTTATATAATGATCATTATGTATTAATTGTGTTTCTTTATAAAGAAGTATCGATTGTCTTGCCCCGACAGGTCAATGTTTCTGTGTGGAGACCATGAAGGGGACACTACTCACGGCAAAATCTCACGGAACCGTGGACTGTACTGGAAATCAAAGTTAGGTGGCCCGGTCCCATCACTGTCATCAGCGAGAAATATGAAACATTATCCCAATGATTTCCGTTACTAATTACAGAATCTGATGATAAATGTTAATAATGAAAATACAATGAACTGAGCATTTATATATAGTTGTATCCTTCTTTATCATTATCTGTTTCGTGTTTGTCTTTTCAAAGTTACAAGAACAAAAATGCAAACTGTGTTTTTGCAGGCTGAAACTACATTCTTGGAATAGTCTTTAGTTAATAAAGACTGGATTACCAACTTCAATCTTCCACTTATTTTATACCATTAGCATAATCAGGTTCTTCTTTCGTTGGTTTTATGAAGAATTTGAAGAAAAAAACGTCCTTGCAAGTTAATGCATAAATCTTTAGTATAAAAAAAGATTGTAAATAGTGATGAAAGAATAAATTATCTCTTCATTTACGTGTTACAACAGCAGGAGCAAACGACTATAGCATTATCGAAAGAGGGTGACAATGGGCCTAACAAAGGTCATAAAGCCAACTAAATTTGAAATAGTATGATGTCAATTGATTGTAAATCATGACGTCATGTTACGTATCTTCATGATGGCGTCACAGTACGACAACACCTCGTGATCATTTTATTTTGTGCTTCCACTTTAGATAATTTGTATGCACAAATATGATAGAACTATGCATTATAACACTCCGTGTGTGTTAGGCATATACATGTATTGGGCTTTTATACTTCCTTTGTCAATGTCACTAGAGAAGTATAAAGTCAAGGAGTAACGATGGCCACAAACTGGACTATCAACAAGATTTACTCTATAAAGATCATATTTAAGTGGACTACACTGATGTCTAAGATTAGTATGCAAAATGTTCAATTTACGTTAACCGAAATCTAAGTAGATTGGCCGAGGATTGTACAATTGATGTTAACTAGTTTTTGAAGGAATTTTAACGAAGTCAATAGATCGTACTGAAAGGTCCAATGAATTCCAACCGCGAAGAGTTGAAGGTATAAAAAAATGAATTTGTGAAATAAAACCTGGAAGGAAAAATAATATAATCACTATTGTTTTTAAGGGAAAAGATCGAATACTACATATAGTGGGTAATTGTCCTTTTCCGTGCCATAACAGGCGTACGAAAGCAGAGAATTACATGTACACGATTAATATAACCAATTATAATATCTCGGTGGTTTGAAGTATACAAGGTAACGGTTATTATCCCTAAGTCAAGGTCACTAGAAGACGTTACATGAGTCGTTTTTCTTGACTGGAGTCTGAAGTGTTGAATATTCGAAAAACAAATATGCGTTCTGTTGCTTTATTCTTCAATAAGATTCATCTTGATTGCATTATGTTTGCTAGGTACATTATATGAGTCAAGAAGCGGTTGGAGAATCAAATACGCAGTGGGAATCATCTGCCGAAAGAAGGACGGGCAAACGATTGTATGATAAAGTATTTTTAATACGTGCTAAGCACACTCCCACTCTTATAGGATCTCGTGAAGAAATTCACGTATGGGCACGTACAATGCAGCTTTGGTACGAAAAGAAATTGCCCGGAGTGCTATTCGTTACCGGCGACCAGGTCAAAGGGGGATAACTGCATATATATTTGTGAAACTCGATTGTGCTGCTGTTTTTATTTCAATTTGCGCATGGGTTCGACACACTGCACAAAATCTGTGTGGCTTGTCCAGTTTTTAACCCCTAATAGAACAATATTTCAGGAAACACATATTTGATTCTAGCTACATCGCAGTAGTACATGTACTCTATTTTCGTTGTGTCTTCAATTTCTGACGGAAATACATGTATACCGTGGGCCCGTATTTATGAAATCGTTATCATGCTCAAGCAAGGATGTTGTGCTCAAGCCTATTAGTTTCTTGTTCCGGTTACAGATCAATAAAAAAAAATCGTTTTTCTGTCAATGATTCTAAAGAAAATTGAAGGCCGTATACTGTATCCAATGATTATACATCTGTCTATTTGTACACCTGTTTGATTTTACACCTGTCTATTTGTACACCTGTTTGATTTTACACCTGTCTATTTGTACTCATGTTCGATTTTACACCTGTCTATTTGTAAACCTGTTGGATTTTACACCTGTCTATTTGTACACCCGTTCGATTTTACACCTGTCTATTTGTACACCTGTTAGATTTTACACCTGTCTATTTGTACTCAAGTTCGATTTTACACCTGTCTATTTGTACACCTGTTCGATTTTACACCTGCCTATTTGTACACCTGGTTGATTTTACACCTGTCTATTTGTACACCTATTTGTGTTCTCCTATTTGTTTGGACTATTTGATTTTACACCTGTCTGTTTGTCTGTTTGTTTATGTACTATTCTATTTGTTCATATATTCGATTTTACACCTGTCTATTTGTACACCTGTTTGATTTTTTGTATATTGCTCTTTGTACATCCGCTAGTTTGTACAAGTAGTTGTAAGTACACATATTTGTACACCTAATTGTTTCTAATCTTAAAAGCGTATTGTATTGACAATTAAATCTGAACAAGGGATTAGACACAAGTTTTTACAACTTATCGTCGCCTTTTCCCCGTCATACATTTACAACAACAGGATACAAATGATGATTGTACACCCGTGTTTGTACACTTACATTGGTTCAGTAGTTTTCACACCTGCATTTATTACCCGTAGATAAATGTTTCTGTGTGGACCAGACGAGTGGTAAGCTGTTGACGGAGAGACAACTCGGTTACATCGACTGCTCCACTGTCTCTGGAGCGTAATATAGCAATAGTTTATCCACTGCGCATGACCGCTCGATCTGACGTCTGAATACGGGCGTTAACCCGGATGTTTGCTTTCCCGTTATAATAATGTTGGAAATAAAAAAGATATTAATTTTACATGTTTATGGTTTATTATTTTGTTTCCTTGATAATTGCAATATCATGCCCTTTTTTCGGCAAGGATATCTCCCCTGTCTCTCTCCCCATCTCTTCCGCTCCCGTACTAAACAACAGAGGACTGTGATATGATCTTTGCCTCTCTAAAATCATATGGTTTAAACATGGGACTCTGGTATGATCAGTGCCTCCCTTTTTACATACCTCCCTACCTCAAGGACTACATCATACTCTTAGCCTCCTCTTCAGAACAAAGATACCACAGGGGAGTATAGCTTAATCCCTGAATCCTTAAAGTATAGCTACATTTACCAATGGATGCTGTAACGTGGACCCTGCCTCCTATTGTACATAGCTACTGCATGGACTTCATTATTAGTATTGTCCCATTTGTAGTAAACAGCTACCGCCATGGACAATAATAAGTGCCTGCTATATCTGTACCTAGAACAGGGGACTGTTTCATTATCCCTGCCTCTCCTATAGAGCAAGGTTAATCAGGGAATGACAGGAGAATCATTGCCCCCTTTTACAACACATAGCTTCCGAATGTACCACAGGGGACTGAAGATATACATACATAGATCCCAACGGGGGCTGTAGCGTGATCCTTATATTCCCTAAAGTACAAAAGGACCTGTAGTGTGATTCCTGCATCTTAAAGAACAAAGCTACCACTATATTTAATTTAGTAAGCAACTTATTTGGATGAGATTTATTATGGGAAATATATCTTCTTCGAACGTTAAAACATATTTATCACACCTATCTAAAGATAGTTCGAAATAACTAAGCCCATTTTTATTGTTTTTCATATATCATGCCCATTAAACAAAAAAGTTATTTCGGACTAGTTCTAAGAATTGTTGATAATTATTTTATTATTTAATGAGGCAATATATATGTTTCTAATTTCATGAAATATATTGATGCTTCCGATCTTAAAATATATTTCTAGTTTTCGTTTCGATTCAGTAGACAAAGAAACCGTTTCGGTATTTTATATAGATGATAAAGTAATGGCGAACCAAGAAAATTACATTTACTGAAATTACTTTTCAAGATCTAGGTGGGGTTATCCCATTAGACGCTATAGTTTTGATCGCCCCGCCCACTGGCCTGGGCCATCACAACCAAGGACGCACCTACAATTAGCTTGGCGACACCGATCCTACCACCAAGGTGCGTACAGAATGGTTCAATATAACAGATGATTTCTTCGGCCGCAATCAGTGGTAAGCATTACAAGACAAGGTCACAGCCTTATCTCCCGAATGTTTGAATCAATTGATAAGCTTTCACCTATCAGTATACTATCCCAAATTTAGAACACATCAACACTTGTTTAACCGTGTCTGTCCTTTAACAACCTTGACTCGACTCGTAGAGATGTATTGTATTTTAGCATGGGCAATTATAGGCGCGGCGTCAGCCCTGTGCGGCCCGGAAACATGCGCTGTTGTTGGGCCCTCATTGCCATTAAACTGTAAAGGGACAATTATTAAGAATGGTGGATATTGTGGATGTTACGATGTGTGTGCCAAGGTAGGTGACAATACAAAAGGGTATATCTGTAAAAAAAAATTTTTTTTATTAATTTTGATTTTTTGTAAAGAGGTGCAATTAAATGCATAAGTTTATATATATATGAGCAGGCTCGGGGTTGGATCTACTGTGTATCTCTGCAATTTACCAGTACCAGTAAGCAAACTAGAGTATAGAACTGTTTTAACGTGCAAATATATTGTCCTCAAATTATGTACAATGTACTGATTTAGATTTAAGGATTCCCCTACCATTGTCAACTATGTAATTGTCAAAGTGTCCCGAACAGCGCACCCAAAATAGCCAGCCGATGAATCGAGGTGTTCGCACGAGCAATCGTCTGGATGACGTCGACCTTACGAACAAACATGCAGACAATGACACAATAAGTTGCGAAATCATTCACATGCAAATGTGTTTTAGGGGATATAGACATCATGCCTGCGTAATAACAACCGATTTTCCGTGAATATAAAATGTTATTCAAAGAACAATTATCCATCTTTCAGGCGACACAAAGCAATTGTGTAAACTTCTATAGAGAAAAACAATGTTTCGTGAAATTCAGGAGGGGTCAATTTTCAGACTTCCAGAGCTTTTCTGCCTCCTTGTTTATATCTGTACATGTACCACCATTTCGGGAGGGGGTATTTTTGTTCAGTGTGGATTGAAATCTCTAAAATGTCTAATATTACGTCCTACATATTGGGATAGGTCCTCACATGCATCCTATGATGTGTTCTCTGGTCCGTATGTACATTACATTGTCCTTCGAACGGCCGGTTTGGTTTAAGTAAATATCACACTATATAGTCAATGGACATTTCTTTTATAAATCATGCAAAACTAAAAATAAAATATCAAAAATTAATAAAATAAAACAAAGTCGTCACAAATATCAAGAAATAAAAGACCTACGCTCCCTATTTCGTACTTCTGGTTTAGCAAGCCGGCGAGTCGTGTCAGGCGAGACCAGGACTAGACGGGAGGTCGACTTACGGCACGTGTGAGCCAGGCCTGATATGTGTCCCCCACGGTGAGATGGTCAGTTTAGGATATGGCCGCTGTCATATTCCTCGGACAAGTAAGTACTGTACATATGTAGATATATATATATAGCTCAATCACCGAAACTAGGTACAAAATGTTGTGCAAATACAGGTGCAACTGGTGACCGACTCCCGCCTCCTTTAAACGAGACATGCTTTATCTTTTACTCAATATAGTTTCATTTAAAATAATCATGTCACAACATTGTCAAGAGGATGCAAGCAAAAAAGGGGGAAAACGATTCTCAGAAGGGATGGTACAGTGTAAGTCGACGGAAATGTACGTCTTTCGAATTCGGCCTTGCATTAACAAGATAGAGTATGCTTAGATTATAAGCGAGGATATACACATAAGATAAATGAATATTTACAAAGTGATTTTACCTCCGTGATCGGTGTTTTGCATTCTCTGTTTCCAGCCCGATGGTTGACCTCAATGACCCATAATACTCCATGCGAGCAGATGAGGCGCGCGCGACTCCTTTCCATGGCCGTCTGGCAGGGCGAGTGGACACCAGTTTGTGACGCCCTCGGTAACTTCTATACCCACCAATGTGACAATAAAGGTAGGTCTACGTTTGCTTAACATATACGTGGTATATACCTAGAGAAGAAAGAAAACATATTTTATGTAATGGAATTGATATAGAGGATGAATACCATTTTATAGTTCAATACAGTCGTTACGCAAACACCCGTTCTAGAGTCATTATGAAATGACCTAGCATGTTGGAATTCGTTCATTTGCTCAAGGTCGTAAATACAAAAGACATTAATCGGCAAGGCAAGTTTTTATCATTAGACAGTAAATGTAGTAAAACATTAATTAGAAGGTCACTAGATTAGGTTATGTAGATAGTGCGTAATTTTATTGCATAAAAATATGTATAAGTCACGTGTCTAGGTGGTAGGGGTGATACTGAGTGTTGTGTCCGTGTGTATGAATGTGTGTATGTCCTTGTCCTGCTAACTGTAATTGACGTAAAACTTCAGCAAATAAGGAAACGAACGAAAGGAACGAAACATTCATGCGCAGTAATTTCCAAATCCACCAATGTGACACTAAAACTACCCGTTTATCCTAAGCAGCTATTGTAAGTCACGTGGTTTGTGTAATACTTGCATGCCCGCAATTATGTACAAGTGTCATGCTAGAAAACCAACATAGCTCTTACACATTCAACGTTGCTACGTTTATATTTGGGGTCAATAAAGGTTCCCGTTATCCATAAATAATGACAAAAGAATTAGCGTCATTATTTCATTTTATTAATTTCATTTGAAATAAATTATACGATGGAATTTGGACACCGACCATAAATGCTGTGTAAAATGGAAAAAAATCGGCTGAAGTAATTATACTTTCGTATTTACTTGTATATATATATTGATTATAACTATGGCCGGCAGACAGAATGTACAACGGATGGCGAGCTTAAGGTGCCATCAGCACAAGCTGGTCATTTCAAGCTATACCGATAGAAAATTTTGACTTCAGGAAAAGGTAGCTCAGAAAAAAAGCCACGACTTATCTTGATTGCGTCTTGTTGATATTCTAGACGTCGATTATCGTAGTTTTATTTCGTATAACACTAACTCATGTGGAACAGAAATGAAAAAAATCGTGGTTTGGAAGAAAAATGTTTCATTGAACAAGTCGAGGCCGTTTGGAAGTTCTTATTGCTGAAAGAATAATCTTCACCTTATCAAAGCAATCTTCCGCGTCGGGAAACCATTCGGGTCCCCCCGGGTAGGAGCAGAAATGTGCCAATACACCTACTGTAGCCATAAATTGACAGGCGGAATACGGGAATGAAAAAAGTGAGATTTATTTGTTATATCTACGATAAAACTTAATTTAAAGGTCAATGTTTCTGTGTGGAGACTCATAGCGGCAAAATGCTGACCGTCAAGACTCTGGGGGCAGTGGACTGTAGTGCTCAACAGGAAGTCACCAAAGAGGTCACCACCACCATGATACCAACCAAGGCACCCGCTGGTCAGTACCCTAGACAGAATACTAGGTCACTGTGATCCCAACGGACATGACGCACCATGTTATCAATAAAATAAGCTGTCATGTTTGATATATGGTTTCTATAATAACATGTTAGCAAACAGATAAATGTCAGATAAAGAGAGAAATAGCATAAAGAAATATCGTTTTAAAGAATAATTTATCACGACTAATAAAAATGTCTCAAAGCATTTCGTACATAGGCTGGAAGTATATTTACCTCCACAGATCCATTGACTATATATCAGCTTCTGTAGTTTTGTAGTGGCTATATATCTGAACCGTTTATCACAGCCCGTTTCCTGGATATCATGGATATGTCCCACAACACACCCTGTGAACAGCAGAGGAGAGCTCGTCTCATGTCCATGGTGGTATGGCAGGGACAGTGGGTACCCGTATGTGATTCTCAGGGCAATTACCTCCCGCACCAGTGTGACAATATGGGTAAGTTCAGCGAAATCTCTTTCATCTGAAATAGTAAAAAATACTCCTTTTCAAGAACTGTATGTTCATGTATGGGCTAAATGTACTTGATTTGATGATGGACATAATGGATACCTTTGTGATCGAATTTAATGTGAAATAAAGTGTTATTTCTTTACACGAAAACAATCAGATTTCCCCCCTTTCAGTTTTACATTACCTATCTGATCATGAGGTGTGGGGAAATTGACACGAAAATTGTTCTTGATGTATGTGCAGTTACATTGTACTGATATCAAAACTGGCACTAACGACGTCACTTGCTATGACCACTAGGTTCCAAATCAGCTTCCTGTACTTATTTGTATCAAAACTGTTATTTTCCAGCGCCGTTAATCTGTCTGTTGGCTGTTCTCTTTCCAGGTCAGTGTTTCTGTGTAGAGACCCACAGCGGGAAAATGCTGACCGCCAAATCTGTGTCAGCCGTTGACTGCAGCAGTAAACCGGAAGTGGATGGCGCCGTTCCTGAGTTACCAACCAAGGCGGTCTCTAGTCAGTATTTAGGAATATCTAAACGAGTATAATCCCATAACTGTCTAGGAAACAGTAAATACCCGAATTTCTGTTAATATCGAATTTCATAATTAATATACTAAAATCTGTTGTTACCTTTATGTTTTTGAGGTAGCGATGTGCATAAAAAACGCTTTCCGATGTTTAAATTGACCTGAATAAACGTTGGAGATATCTTTTAAAATCATTTATCTATGGTTTATCCTCCCGAACTAACGGATATTGTTTATGTATTGCATACATATAGTTATCTTACTGTATTGATACAGCAGGTCTTCAGGCCATGAGCTATACAGCCTTATATTTCACAACGTGATTAGCTAGATGTCCTTTTAACTTGATGCTTATCGGTTGTTCTGAATTAAAACGATAACGGATTCTGAGCATTAAAGCGCTTTTTGCAATATATTAACTTAACCTTACTATTCCCTCCGCAAAATATGATAGGCTTATAACGAACAGTCGTACGGATATAACAAAAACAACGTCACACGTACGTGTTCATCTGACGTCTCTGATGATATATGCCGAGCAAGTATATTATATGTCATTTGTACACATGTGTGTGGTATTAATATACCTTACGAAATGTCATGATCGTCAGTAAATATAGGTAAGTTTTGTGTGTTACAGCCCGTTTCCTGGATTTCAACATTGACTGTGAACATGAGAGGAGAGCTCGTCTCATGTCCATGGTTGTGTGGCAGGGACAGTGGGTACCCGTATGTGATTCTCAGGGCAATTACCTCCCGCACCAGTGTGACAATATGGGTAGGTACAGCCTACGTTGGTTCCATGCGATACTCTTGTAAATGAAATTGTGGCGGACAATCGGAAAATAACAGCACTCCAAAACTCGTAGTCATATGAACGTTTTATTATTATTTGAAGTAGTGAATCACACTGATCAGTGAAATGCCGTATATATCATTATTATAGAATTTATTCAAGCGCTGAACTGTGTTGGTATGGCATTTACAGTCTGCATGAATGACACAGCTTTTAAGGCATCATAATGTGTGCAATATTTTGAAGATTTCATTATCATAGAAATTAGAATATGCTTATCAAAGTGCATGTATCGTGTGTGCTGGTGGAAAGGAAATCTTCCATGGGGGTCAGTAGTGTCCAACGTTACAATTATGACATCACAATAATGATGACGTCAATATGTGGGTCGAGACATTTGATATGGTTAAATTGTAGCAACGCGATTATGTGGTAAATAAAGTAAAGTGAACGGTATTTCCATGCGGTACATGTATAAAGGTTTATATAAGGATCATTATGTATTGATTATGTAACTATATAAAGAAGTGTTGATTGTCTTGCCCCGACAGGTCAATGTTTCTGTGTGGAGACCATGATGGGGACACTACTCACGGCAAAATCTCACGGAACAGTGGACTGTACTGGAAATCAAAGTTAGGTGGCACGGTCCCACCACTGTCATCAACGAGAAATATGAATCATTATCTCAATGACTTCCGTTACTAATTACAGAAACTGATAATAAATGTTAATAATGAAAATACAATGAACTGAGCATTTATATATAGTTGTGTCCTTCTTTATCATTATCTGTTTCGTGTTTGTCTTCTTCAAATTTTCAAGACCAAAAATGCAAACTGTGTTTTTGCAGACTGAAACTACATTCTTGGAATAGTCTATAGTTAACTAGAATTTTGTTTTTGTGAACAAAAACATATGTCTCCCCTTATTAGCCAATGGGAAAACTCCGGTATACAAAATTAACAAAGGGCGCTTTATGTTGTGGGGCACGAGACCCGAATTAAGAATTTGACGCTCCTACTTACCCAAGATACATTAAAACTTTAGCAAGTTTGGTCAACGTAGGTGAAACTAGAACACTGACAGGTCAGTAAGGGCCCCGTCTTGTGGCAATATTTCCCCCATACTCATCAAGAACCAATCTGCCCATATAGCTGAACTTGACGTTTGACATTTGGACTTCAAAAAAATCGCAAGGAAGCAAAATATACATTTTACATGTACTATGATGTGAGTCTTGTTTCCTTCCACTTCCATTTTTGCTGGGCTAACAGAAATGTAAATACCGGTGCAATACTCATTTGTTTTATTTCACCTTAAATACTTCCCCCATCAAGAGCCAGGGTCAAAATAAGAGATCCACTTTGTCTTTGACCTTTGGACCTTAATGACCTTGACCTTTAACCCAGTGACCCGGATCTTTGGTCAGTTGACTCATTCTTCAATTCCGACCAATTTTGCTTCATAATATCATAGCAAAATGTTCATCAGTGAAAAATACAAAAATAGACATTGACCTTAAACCCGTAACCTTAACCTTTAGTTAGTTGACTCTGTGTTAAGTTCTGAACAACTTTGCTTCATAATAACATACAAAAAAAGTTCATCAGTAAAAAGATACAATATCTGACCTTGAAATTGACCCAGTGACCTTGACCTTTGGTCAATTGACTCCTTGTTTGATTCTGACCAACATTGCTTCAAAGTGTCAAAACGAAATGTTCACCACCAAAAAGATACAAAATGTAACCTTGACCTTTGACCCTGTGACCTTCACCTTTGGTCAACTGACTCCTTGTTTAATTCCGACCAACTTTGCTTCAAAGTGTCATAACAAAATGTTCCCCAGTGAAAAGATACTGAATTTGACCTTAACCTTTGATCCAGTGACCTTGACCTTAAGTCAGTTGACTCTTTGTTAAATTCCAACCAACTTTGCTTCATAATGTCATAACAAAATGTTCATCAGGGAAAAGATACAAAATTTGACCTTGACCTTTGACTCAGTTACCTTGACCTTTGGTCAGTTGATACCTTGTTTGATTGTGATGGGCGGACGGATGAATTAGTTTAAACTTTCTTTTATTCAAGTATTTCAATTGTATACATATATATGCAATATATATAATCTCGGGTTGATTCTCGGGGAATCAACCCGAGAAAGGCCTAGAGACGCTATCTCTGTCTTTTGTTCTATTTTTTATATTTAATTCCAACACAAGGACTTCTCAATGTTTTCTTCATATATATATATATATATATAGCATTTTGTAACAAAACACAAAATAGGAAATAGAAACAAGTGTCTTGGACACTTGACGGATGAATTAGTATAGGGCACCCGCATCTTCGATGCCCTTATAACAAAGTTATGTCGTGGACAACCTTTGGTATCAAAAATAAAACAACGGCCATAACCCTGTATATAGTGACGTACGACCTAATTCCAGTGCACTGCACACCTTCTGTGAGTGATGAAGGTATACTTCAAGTTTGATTAGGATATGTTTAATGGTTTAGAAGTTATGCCATGGGCAAACTTCGGTATTAAAAAGTAAACAAAGGGCCATAACTCTGTATATAGGTGGGCATAAAATCTGATTTTAGTGTGAGAAATTCCACCTTCCCAAGATACATCAATATGGTAAGTATGGTCAACGTAGGTGAAATAACATAGAACTTAGGCTCTAGACAAACTTCGGAATTAAAATAAAACATAGGGCCATAACTCTGTATATAGTTGGGCACGAGACCTAGTTCCTGTGCACTGCACACCTTCTGTGGGTGATGCAGGTATACTTTAAGTTTGATTAAGATATCTTTAACGGTTTGAAATTTACGGGCCGTACAAGAATTTACTGAAATGTGCACTTATTTGACCTTTGACCTTGAGGTGAAGGTCACAGTGACCTAATTCCAGTGCACTACACACCTCCTGTGGGTGATGCATGCATACCTCAAGTTTCATCAAGATATCTTTAACGGTTTAAAAGTTATGGCCCGGACAAGTCAGATTAGAAGAGCCAGAAAAAGAAGAAGACCAGTACTGATACAATATGTCTCCCTTCATTCGAAGGGGAGACATAATAAAGACAGGATAACCTATTTCAATATTCGTTACCGGGGACCAGGTCAAAGGGGGATAACTATGGCAAGCCAACTTAACATTTATTCAAGGAGCAATGTCGATCCTGTATTTCATCGAATTATATAAGATATCTTATATAGCATATGAGATATCTTATATACTATATAAGATATCTTATATCGTATATAAGATATCTTATATACTATATGAGATCTTATATAATATATAAGATATCTTATATCCTATATGAGATATCTCATATAGAAATTAAATGAGATATCTTATATAAGTATATAAGATATCATATATACTATATAAGATATTTTATATCGCATATAAGATATCTCATTTAATTTTCCTTATAAGATATCTCATAATATATATAAGATTTCTCATATAGCTATATAAGATATCTTATATAATTGAAATCTCGTTGCTTTATAAGATATCTGATATAGAATGAGATTTCGTGGTATTAAAAACCAGAAACTAATTTCTCCCTCGAGAATCATTCGGAGCGTATTCAGGATTGCATTGGGCGCAAAGGCGGAGAGGGATGGTACGTATGCTGTATTTTCCCTATGCCTAGCTCGCCTTGTCTCTCTTATAGCGGCCAAAGCAGAGGCTGCCATTTCCCGCACTCTTGAAGTGGGCTCAGACATAATGGCGGCGACAGGAACACGTGTTGTTACAACAAGCCTACTGTCCCTACGTAGATCCTCGAGATATTCCGGACGAGGCGACTTCATTTTCGACATTTTGTTAAAATCTCGTTCCAATATAAGATATCTTATTTAGTAACGAGACTTTAATTATATAAGATATCTTATATAGCTATATGAGATATCTTATATATTATATAAGATATCTTATATAGAAAATTAAATGAGATATCTTATATACGATATAAGATATCTTATATATCATATAAGATATCTTATATAGCATCTCATTTCATTTCTATATAAGATATCTCATATAGTATATAAGATATCTTATATATTATATAAGATATCTCATATACTATATAAGATATCTCATATACTATATGAGATATCTTATATACGATATAAGATATCTTATATAGTATATAAGATATCTCATATGCTATATAAGATATCTTATATATTTTTTTGAAATACAGGATCGACATTGCTCCTTGAATAAATGTTAAGTTGGCTTGCCATAGATAACTGCATATGTGTTTGTAAAACTCAAATGTGCTACTGTTTTTATTTCAATTTGCGCACGGGTTCGACACACTTTGCAAGACCTGTGTCGCTTGTCCAGATTTCTACTTCTAAAAGAACAATATTTCAGGAAACACATATTTGATCCCGGCTACATCGCAGTAGTACATGTACTTCATTTTCGTTGTGTCTTCAATTTCTGACGGAAACACATACCATGGGCCGTATTTTATGAAATCGTTCTCATGCTCCAGCAAGGATTTTGTGCTCCGGTAACAGATTAAAAAAACTTATTTTGTCAATGATTCGGAAAAAATTGAAAAACGTATACTGCTTCCAATGGTTACATTTTACATTTTGATGGTTTGACATGATTTAAGTGAGTTACCGGAATACTGGTTTTCAAAAAACACATAATCCATGCTTGAGCATGTGAACGGTTTCATGATTACGGGTCCAGATGCCGCTTGTCCTGTGTTCGAATTTTAGTGGAGATCTAAGGTAAACATATCCTGTCGCTATTAGTCCCGAATTCCGACTCCTATTAGAAGCACTCACTGTCGCCAGTCATGGGTTCGACTCAGTACAGTTTGGTACCATAAACAGTGTCACCAACGTATAACCGCTTGCACTTATTAGGCAAAAGACAATAGCATAACGTCATGATCGGTAAAATAGACATACCCACTTGTGACGTCACATACTTGTTGCTAAGCTGCTTAGCAATCGTCGAAGGCGGAGATGATCAGTCTCTCCCCTGATATTTATTTCTTTTGTTTAAATCACCACAATGAATATCAAGTTATTCTTGATATTAGTGGCAATGATGTGCGCCTTGCACCAAGGGCCTGCTGTATATCGGGACCTTACGTGGTAAGTCTGGATCTTATATGTTATTCGTTTACTTGATGTTACGCAAAGATCTCGCGGAGGTCAAATGAACGTCAATAACATTTTCAAGTTTACGATTCTGTTGCCATTGAATGTTTAGAAATATTTACTCTTAACTTTATAAGTTTAACTCTGTAGCGTGGAGCCCGAGAGCCGGGATATGCCAAAAGATTGTTTTATTATTTCACCGCAAGCGAAATTGAGAAAGTCTGTCCAACGGCTACCGATCTGACATGGGTAAGGATTTCATATTTTAAATGTTAACGACTGTCATGAAAACGTCAACAGTTTGTTCCTCTAATAATTAAGTAAACGTATGCTTGTGATGATGCGTATCTTATTCTAATTCTAACCAAATTAATATACCTATTATTTTTTTCGCAAGTGCATTTCGTTTCGCAATTTTATTTTTACCGCAAATTAACCGTGTTTCTGCCAACTCGATGCATAGGCCAATCGAGTAGGCAGAAACACGGTTAATTTGCGGGTCTGGAACATTGAATGTTTGTATTATAGTGATATTCCCTAAAAATAATTGTGATTTGTTTTATTTTAGCGAATTGGAAATGAGGCATTCTATAACCTGCTGTGTGTGCTTCTTACCCTGCTTTTTGGCTATGCGCCGTTGGTCGGAAAAATCGTCAAAGAGAAATGCTCAGCCGCCATGTCAATGTTCCGAGAATGGAGAGCTCGTAAGTAACCATTCAAAATGTGATGAGATTTTTGTGTTTCATTGTAATTTGGCATATTGTATTTTGAACCGCATTTTATTCGCGAAGGTTGTTAATCATGTTGGCCGCAGTCTAGTATAATTATCGGTGTTCTCACTCTAAGTTCTATTGTTCTGTTTATCCCGAAGGAGGCAATTATGTGGAAGAAGAAGAAGGGTACCACTGTAATTAAGATGTTTTCTAAAGTTAATGTACCTTTTCATGAAACAACGGTTGTGGTCGGGTGGCGCAGTGGATAGCACACTTCCCTTTCACCAAGGTAGTCGGGGTTCGATTCCCTGACGTTAAAAGGTATGGGATCACCTGCCCGACCACATGGGTTTTGTGAATGTCCGGGTACTCCGGTTTCCTTCCTCATTAAGATCACCCGCACCATTTGGACCAACAGGAGTGATTAATATAAGTTGGGCGCCATTTGTTACAGTGCTATCTTTGCGTATAAAATCCACTAAACACTGTTTGGTTTCTTTATGCCTTTTATTCTGTTTTCTAATAAACCCTACAAGTACAAATACAACACATTACACATTCACTCAATTCTCTCACATAGTCTATTTACATCAAGGGACATAACTCGTATATATACTTCCATTATCACAATAATGTCAGGTTAAAAGGATATCCTTTTGGAAGCCCTCTGGTACTCGTAAGAAAGACAAGGCGAATTTCGCAAAAAGGTCAAACGCCAGGATGTTGTTTTACTATGGACTAGAGTTGTCCGTGGTACTGACCAAAGAGCTGCCATGGAATGACCTGTACTTGGAGAGGAAGTTCGTCCAGCATTTTGAGGAGGAGCATATGGCATTGTTCCCAGTATGCATCCAGCGTCAGATCAACTACTGGTACCCTGTCCCTCGCTAGGTATGTACATGTACTCTGTCCCTCAACAGGTAGTGTATGTCCCTTGCTAGATTGGTGTTTTTATCCCTATCTAGGTACTCTGTTTCTAGCTAGATTGGTACAATATTATACAGTTATAAAAGGTGTTACCGGGGTTCACAAAAAAGCCAGGATCCGGGGATTCTTTGTATATATTTAATCTTCACGTAAAAAAACCTGTTGACCAAACAAATACAACATATAAATCTTACATGCAACCGAACATACCTCACCTTGACAAGTTTTCCCCAATTTCAACATACAAAATATATGGTTCACCTCAGTTGGTCAGGAGCAGAGTGCCCAAGTTGGCCAAAGCCGTTACACAGGTAAGCTGAGGCGTCCGTCCTGACCAATCATATGACCCGTCCTTAGTCGGGTGTCATAACAACTTACTCACTCACTCACATGCACACACAGGTAAGTACATGTCACATACACAGGCAGATTCATTAAATAGAGAATAATACATGCCCTTTTCCATATCACACCTAGTATCAACCCGAGACTGCAATATCAGCCCTAGGTGTGATATGGAAAAAGGCATGTTTTATTCTGTTTATTACATACTTACTAATAAAAGCTACTTTCTTATGATCTATTTTTCTTTTGAAATATTGAAAAACGAAAAATTTACAAAAGGGGTGTTATACGGGTTTTGCGGGCTGATACGGGTTTAGGGGTGTGATACGGCGGGGGCTGATACGGCTTTTGGGGTGTGATACGGCGAGGGCTGATATGGGTAAGGGCAATTGTGTCGTATTGCATATACAAAAAACCCGTATTTATTAGTAAATATGTAATAAAGGTCCTTACAACATTTTTCACACCAGACAACATATGCAAATACAAAACATGTATAACGAAACCTAATACCTACAATATGTATATTAGTGATAATTAATTACAATACAAAATACATGCCCTATTACATACTCCCCCCTCAACAAGTTAAATGATCTCCGGATCATTTACGGTACAGGACCACTGCTAATAATCACTAGGAGTGAGTCCAATACTTTTTCTGGTAGATCTCTTAGGGTTCCGGATTTGGCCAACTCTTGTATGTATGTAGCCCTGAAAAGCCAATCAGATTTCCTCTCGACAACCTGTTGCTGGCGCTCGGTATGGCATCCATAGTAATGTGCTTGTATTCTTTAAGGAGTATGTAATAGGGCATATATTTTTTATTGTAATTAATTATTACAATACCTACAATATGTATATTAGTGATAATTAATTACAATACAAAATATATGCCCTATTTCCTACTCCCCCCTCAACGGTATTAAATTATCGCCTAAAAAGTGTTCCTTATTTAAAGCTAGGGTAAAATATTTGGGATTTGTGGTATCGGAAACCCGAGTGGAGGCAGATCCGGATAAAGTTGAGAACATCTCTTTAGCTCGATCGGTTGAGCGTAAGACTGTACTCGATGGAGAATCGTCAGCTGAAGTCCCAGTAGAGTCAGGGGTCCCCAAAGGGACAGTCCTGGGTCCCCTGATGTTCCTTCTATACGTCAACGATATCGGCGCAGGAATCACCTCTGCTGTCAAGCTATTCGCAGATGATTGCCCCCTTTTCAGGATCATTGACTCCGTCACAGACACCCACCAGCTACAGGAGGACTGGTCGAACAAGTGGCTGATGAAATTCAACGCTAAGAAGTGTTACACGATGAGGATGAAGAGATCCCGAACCAACATAACAGCAGGAGCCGACTATAACATCAATGGTAGTACACTCCAAGTAGTAGAGCACAGCCAATACCTTGGAGTGGAAATAGCCAACAACCTGGACTGGAAGCAAAATATCAACCAGATGACCACAAAGGCCAACAGATTACTATCCCTCCTGAGGCGCCACCTTGGAAAATGCAAACAGGAAGTGAGGGAGAAGGCCTACCTGACCCTAATCCGACCAAACCATGAATATGGAGCTTCAGTCTGGGATCCACATAAGAAATACCAACAGAAGTCATTAGAAAGAGTCCAGCGGCGAGCAGCTCGATTCACAACCGGCGATTAATCGCGTTATAGTAGTGTAACCGGGATGTTGAACGAGCTACACTGGCCACCCCTACAGCAGAGACGGAAGGAGAGTCGACTTACCAACCTCTACAAAGGCATCCACAACACTAACGCACTGATCATACCACCATATATCAGTAGTAACGCCAGAAGTGGAAGGAGACAACATAACCACGGCTATATCAACATACAATGCAACACCGACACCTACAAATACAGCTTCTTTCCAAACACCATCATGGAACTGAATGGACTACCATCAGAGGTCGTCGAGCAGCTGACCGTGGAGGCATTCAAGAACTCGCTCCACAGTCATCTTGCAGAGTGAATGTGGATCCTGTAAATAGTTTGAACTTTTTAACCTATTTTAACGAACTTATGTGGAAGCCACGCCACACAAGTCTACCTGCAAGTTGATGCTGTTCGACGGCCCTTTGCAGTATCGCCGTAAATGTAAATGACTAGTAAGCCAGAGGGCCCGGGTTCGATCCCTAGCGGAGGCAGTGATTTATATTTAATTAATCATGCGCTCTGTTACACAATGGGTAATTCGGGAAATAGCACATTTATGGTCCCCCGAGGTGAAAAACTATTTCCCGAGGCGGCGAAGCCGTCGAGGGAAATAGTTGTTTTACCAAGGGTGACCATAAATTTGCTATTTCCCGAATTACCCATTCTAACAACTGTTTTATTATAACGAAACAAATTATTCACGCAGTAAAGGCAATTTAACAAATGAATTTATTTATTCATTTCCTTTTACAATTTCAAAGACTGAAAGAGAAAAAAAAAATACAATCGGAGTACTCTATGTATCTTCGTTGATGATATCTTCATTTCTAGCATTCAAGAAGTGTTTTTATAGATTGAATCTCATAGTCACCATTGTTTTCCTATCATATCTAGATCTAGTCCCATCACCTTTTTTTTAAAAGAGCTTGCTTGACCCTACTCGTTGACGCTTCCGGCATTCCGTTCTGTTAAATAAGTTTGAAGTGAATTCACTGCTTTCTTTATAACAGCTTTTGTATTTAAGCTACGTTTAGCGTCTATTATCTGCTGTAACTCCTCTTTACAACAACAAAACGGCCTTCATCGGTGGCCATTTTCACAAAATGTGACGTCACGAGCGTCACGGAGAAGGCTCCGCCTACCAATGTTTTCATTGGTTGAAATCTAATAAACTCCGCCTACAATTGATTACATGAGGGAATAGTCCTCTTTCTGGCAGGGAGTAGTCCCTTTTTGCAGGGAGCAGTCCTAATTTAGGAAAGGAATAGCTCTCAGATGGAGAGATTTGAGTGATTTAAGGGAAATGGCAGATTTTATCGTATTGTTTTTATATGGGGAAAATTCAGTAGAGGTATAATAATCCTCCTTAGGTACATATTGTGCCCTGTCTCTTTCTAGGTTGGTACTGTGTTCCTAGGTACTGTATCCCTCTTGGTATTCTGTCCCATGCTAGGTACTATATCCCTCTCTAGGTAGTATGTCCCTTGCTAGGTACTATATCCCTCTCTAGGTAGTATGTCCCTTGCTAGGTTGGTACTATGTCCCTCTTTGTATTCTGTCCCTTGCTAGTTACTATATCCCTATCTAGGTAGTATGTCCCTTACTAGGTACTATATCCCTCTTTAGGTATTCTGTCCCCTGCTAGGTTGGTATTATGTCCTCCACTTCATACAGGTACTCATCCTTGATTAGGTAGGTTACCATTTCCTCGTTAGGTACGTTCCTCCCCAAAATAATGATAACAAAAAACATTGGGATAGTATACAGTTAAAGTATGGGGTTGAGGGATATAGCAAGTTTCTGGTGTCCCGAGACCAGGTATATACACACTGGAGAGATAGTTTTAACTAGAAATTATTTGTAAACCATAAGCTGTAGATCACAATAGAGCCAAAAATGCTTCCGAATTCGGTAACAAGCTCCGCCCACCTCTCGCCTGATTGGCTCGGCGGAAACACCCGAGTGTAGGTGGGTTTTAGTTCCCAGACTAACACACAGGACTAAAACACAGTCAGGCAAAAGTGAGGATATATTCGATTTAACCAATT